ACTGCATTAATGAAATGCACAAAATTGTAGAAAATGTGAGGGATTATCTTCCGCATAAAATAGAAATGGAAATACACTTAAAAGACAAACCATATTAAATCAACATATATGATGTATTCAGTGTTAACCAGCCAAGAACCAGAAGATTCATAGTACATATTTCCCATAACAGCAACACCTTATCTCATAGGATTCAAACAGAGACCACTAACCTGTTCCCACAATTAATGAGGCCTGCCGGCTGCAATTCCAACTTGTTCCAATTATAAAGCTTAACAAAGTGATCATATGAGAAAAGCCCCTAATAAAAACGTAAGAGGAATTAATTTCAAGGCTGAAATAAATTTCATAAAAGAAAAGGAGAAAGGAAAAATAAATAGAAGAAAACCTTATAGTTAAGCCTTCCAGGCATTTCAGAGACTGTACAAGCGTGGCTGTTCTTTAACTTGGACCCTCTAAACTGATCAACAACTTTCAACATGGACATTCTCAATCCATTTTTAGAGTTGAGATTACATGCAACTTCAGCGGGAACACCAGAAGTTGCCTGCACACTATCTACTCTTCCTGGCTGAATGCGTGGAAGTGAAACTGATGTCCCTCCAGCACTTGAAGGTAGAGAATATTCAGAATCAATTTTTCTTTGTGAGAAATTTCCATCTTTACTCTGTACCTTAGAAATAGTGTCAACCACAACTTTAGTTGACCTTTCAGTTCTCAAAGGCGGTGAGATACTGACATTTGAATCAAGTGTTTTGCCTCCTGAACCATTTCGTGGACGAACACTTGAGGTTGACTTGGATCTAAGTACATGGGAAGTTGATGCTGGCTTAAGATTACCAGTGGTTTTATGCCCTTGACTATTGGAAGGGGCAGAATTGCAGACATTTGAAGGGATACTATAGTTTTTGGATAAATTTTCCCCATCCATGGGCTTTTTATCTTTCTTATATTCTGAGGCACCAGGAAGAGTGATGTTGGATGCATCCGTTTCATCAGAGCTGCATGCTTGCAACACATTCGATGAGTTGAACGAAAATGATGATGTACTACACAACTTCCTACCATGGCCTCCACTGAATTTGGGTAAGGTGGAATTACCCAAGGAATCGCTTGTAGGTCCCTTGTGGTCAAGAGTTCTAGCCCAAAAATCAGAAGAGACTGTTGCACCAGACACTTTATGATTGCCATCAATTACAAAACTAGAAGAATTAATGGAAGAGCGTGAATCCTTTCCATGACTACCGCTGGGTTTAAGCTGATTCAATTTACCAGATGAGGGAAAACTATCCACAGAACCAACCAGGTTACCAAACATGGGTGACAATGGCTTGGGTTGATCAACAATGTCAATACCTCTTGTAGTTTCAAGTGAGTCGGGTATTGCATCAGCAGATATATATCCATCAAATTTCTCTGGTTCAATTTGACTACTGCTATCACTAGTAGAAGTATCATCAGATGATTCACTGCTTATAATTGAACTAGAGAATCCAGAAAATGATGAAGCAGATGAATCAGAAGTAAATGATTCATAATGGTCTTGTTCTGTCACTTTATGCTCAAAATCTGCTCTAGATGCAACAGGCCGATCGGAGATGCTGGGAGGATGGCAGTTTTCCTTATGGCCTTGCCGCCAGTGTATGATTTGACACTTGCCAGAACTGAAAAAAAGTCCAAAACACTTGATTTGACACTTGACCCTAATCTATAATGAGGATCAGTATACAATAAATTCGGCTAGCATAATTGCTCCAAGTAAATAAGGAAGAGGAGAAGGTTCGGAGGCAGCACATTAAAATTTAATTTGTTTTTCGATTTACTATTAATGACAAGCACCAGAGAACCCACGCCAAGATAATAAATTGTATCCCAACAGCAATGGAATTCATATTACAAAGGCTTTGATGTTATCCCTCATGTTTGAAAAAAGTTGTCAGGGCTGCACTTGCATTTCAGCATGGAAGTTCACAACTATTGAGTCAAGCAGGAAAATAAGTAACACAATGTAGGAACAGAAAGACGAGACCAAACCTGTTTCCAACTATAATAGGCAATACTTGCTAACAAGGAAATGTTGGGAAGTGATATAATTTCCTTAATCTCCACTAGTATGGGTATTACTTGGTATTGTTATTCCAAGACAAATTAACGCCTTAAGACAGTTTAGTGTCTCCATCAAACAGGCGACATAAGATTTCTTTAGCAAGAAAGAAAAGGAAGTTTCATTACCAACATTACCAAAAAAATGGAAACACAAAACAAGTCCTAAACAATTCAATCAAGTAGAAAACCCATTAGCAGCAAAAATTTGAAATGGGTCCTAAAAAATTCTTAGTAAAAATACAAATCGGAGGTTTAAATACCTAAAGAAAGAAATTAGAAGTACTAGGTAATGTTATGCAATTCCAAAGTAGTATCTGTTTTGATACTTATAACCCAACTACAGAAGATAACAAAATATTGAGATGCGCATATACTCATATGGCTTAACCATTTCCAATCCCTTCAGAAAGTTCTGCTGCACACAGAGGTTATAGCCTAGCCTCACCAAGAAGTTTGTTGTTGAACTGAGATTAACAGACAAGAGGTCTCTTCACGATCTACCCTTACGATAAATAAGGCAAGCTAACAAATTTCAGGGCATATGGTGCTTACATGCTCAAGACGAACAGAAATAGAATCATGCGACTAGAATCCGAGGGCAACAATTTCCCACACATTAATTTCAAAATGAACCCGATCTAAACTTATACGGTGAGGCGATAAAGAAATTAACAAAAAATAAAAGAGATTCAACCCCAAAAAAAGAAGATTCACAGTTCCAAGTATCGAGGATGGATGATAAACATACCAATATCGAACCGCTTTGCAACGAGCACAGCGTGTGGTTGTTGTAGAGTAACAGACAGCACACTGGTGACCAAGAGGAGTAATCGATGTATAAGTATACCCAGCAGATGCCTCAAGCTCAGCTCTAAAGGCCTCCTCAGATGATAAAACTAACAAACGATTAATTTCTTCCTTTCTCGCCACAGAGAGCCGCCATTTACGCCGGATTACCAGGTAGATTACAGGGAAAACCACAAACACCAAGAGGACCTGAAGCCCTATACTTCCAGAAACAAGCATTTATCCTTCCCCCACCAACAACGTCCACCAAATAAACCACGCCCTTAGCTTCTAACCTCGCCACCACGCATAAATTCCTCGATTGTGGTGGTTCGAAGGCCAACGATACCGCGAATAACGCCGATTATGCATAAAGAACCCGGAAGCTCAGAACCGCATACGAATTGCTCAGTGAAGAAAATAACAAACGCGCAAAAAAAGAGGAAAAAAAAAGTTGAATCTCCGTGCAGGAGAAAAATGTTTCCCAGTTGAAGCAATAGACAGAGCTAAGCTTGCAATGACATTAATCTCATGGATTCAGACAAATCCACGCAATAATTGCAGAGCAGATCAAGAAGAATTTAGGGCTCCTTCAATTTCTTGAGAAAGAGAAAACCAATCAGATTCTGAAGGGGAAAAGGGTAGAACGAGGAAACATGAAATTACGCATAGGAATAAAATAATAAATAATTTCCCCAAATAAAATTCATTTTTTTTTTTTACTTGGCGGTTGGAGGCAAAGAATTCCAATTTCCCCCTCTCTTGGTATTGGAAAGCGTGAATTCTCCGCCCTCAAATATTCCCTTTTATCCCCGCTCGTGTGTCCGGTTCGGGACCGGTCTGGTTTTTTTTATTCTTTTCTCAAAAAAGGTTAGAGAGAACGATACGGAGGAACAGCCGGGCAGTGATGTGAATGGAATGGGGCCGAAAGAGAGGGAGCTTGCATCCCCTAATAATAATAATAATAATAATAATAATAATAATAATAATAATAATAATAATAATAATAATAATAATAATAATAATAATAATAATAATAATAATAATAAAACAGGGCCCCACGTTGGAAGAGAGCAAATTGGAAGGTTAGACATTCGAAAAGACAAAAACGAATTTGCTATATTTTACTTTGGACCTATTTATATTATTACCTTTCAAACCCTGTTGGAAGGTATCTCTCTTATTCCAATGGACTTTCATAACTATTTTATTATATTTTATATTTTATATTTTGCAAATTTAAGCTTATAAATACTACTTTTACTCTTACTTACTTTATAAATGTGTGAAAACCTCTTGACAATACCTACTAGATGTGAGTTTGAGCTGTTACAAATGGTATCAAATCTAGACACAGGATACTTAAGGAGGACAATACTTACTAGATGTGAGTTTGAGCTGTTACAAATGGTATCAAATCTAGACACAGGACAATGTCGGCTTGGGCTGTTACAAATTGTATTAGAGCCAGATACTAGGAGGTTGAGCCTCGAAAGGGGGTGGACACAAGACGGTATGCCAAAAAAGACTGAACCGCACATTTTAAATGAAATTTAAAGGGAACGACCTCGTTTGAAGGAACAAAACTGGGGTAGTACTAGGAAGTGGTCAGAAGTATGCTTATTTAACCTTGGAGCTATGAATTTAAAATAGAAGTCCATTTTTTGCTACTACGAAGGATAGAGATTCACCTTACAAGCATATATTTCTTTCATTCCACAATTGATCAATGAAATTCAAGCACTAACATCGGTTTAATCCTAAATGAAACGAAATCAAGTTACCGTCCAAACAAACGTATGATTTCAGTACTCTCTCGAAATCTGACCTGATCTTTCAACAATAGCCCAGAAGTTTGACTCCTCATCCTCCCAATTGTCGTTAAATAATAATAATAAATAAATAAATAAATAATATAAAAAACAAAATATTAATACACAAATATCTATTAATTAGTTGCTATATAGATATATATAACAGATACAATAAATAAAACAAATTAATAATTTAAATTAAATTAAAACCATCACAAAGGGGACGGGGGACTAAATTTTGTTAATACCATAGTTTACACGGCTCTCTCACTAGTTCGCTCTTTTTTTTTAGAAAAAAAAATAAAACTAAAAAATAAATTAAAAAAAAAAAAAGAAAAAAAAGAAAATCAAACGCCTTTCCCTCTCTCCACTCTCTCACGATTTGAATTCTCCATTTTTATTTTCAACCCCACCATTGATGAACCGCCACACCTTTGTCTCGGAGCTGTCCGTACAATGCCAAACACTGCCAGTAAGCTCGTCGGCCGCCGCCGGAAACCTTCCTGCCACTGTTTGGTTGTGGCTTGCATTCCAAGAAAAGCTCGTTGACCAACTGTATGGCCTCGGATTGCATCATCTCTTCCACAACCTCCGCTTCTGCTTTCATTACGACGTAATCTTCGGCTTTTACGTTGCTCGACAGCCAATCCGAAATTCCGACATGCAAAGTCTTCGACGATGGCTCGTGATCAGTATTCACTGTCTCGATCTTCAACATTTCGAATTTCTTGTTTCTGGTAGGGTAGTTGTGATTAAACCAGCTTGTGCCGCTTCCGCCTTCCTTCTCCGGAAGACCGACGTCGATGAAAACATGGCGGGGGTAGTCTTCGAGAGAATCGCCCATCAAATCTGGAAGGTATCGTGTTCGTCGCAAGTACCGCCTCGATTTTCGCGATGCTGATCGCGGCGGTTCGAGGAGGACGTCTTCGAGTTCGTTTAGGGCTGCAGCTCTTTTAGCGTCAGATTTGTAAGCGAAGAGGAGTTGTCTCTGAGAGTGAAATTTGATCTCATCTTTGCCTAATTCACTCATCCCCTCATCGACGGGAGTAGAATCAGCTTGTTCGAGGTAAACGATTCTGTAGTTTGTTGATTTGTCAATATCAATATCATTATCAGATCCAAATTTGGCATTGTTTAGAACCGATTGCGACGCGATTGAGGATCCTCTGAGAATAGATCCGAAATAGGGGAAAGAAACGATTAACAAAGCTAACAACACGGCTCGAGCAAGAAACCTCAATAGCCTAGATTCTGCTGTAGGATGTTTGATTACCAAATACAGACCAGAAACTTGGACGTACTCGACAGGCTTTGTTCCCAAGCTTAACGCCATGGATTGCTTCAATGAAAACTCAGGAGAAAAAACAGGCTTATTGGGCTGTTGATTTTGGGGCAGAAGCAGAATTGAAGAAATTTGCAGAAAGAACTCTGATCAGGCAAAAGAGGGAGAGGGGAAAGCTAAAGCAGGGGGGAAGGGGAATTCTTAGCGAGTGCAAAACCTGGAAGCCGTGTGATTACCGCCCACGAGGGCCACACGAGAGCTTCGAGTCCTTAACCATAAGAACATCAACTGCATCATCCTAAGCACCTCCATGGTTTCTCTTTGCCAGTCCCCAGATCGATGGTGTGTGATTTGCCCCCAAAAGATTTTCAGTTTCTTCGTCCTATGCACGAAACATCGGCTGAAACCACACGACCATCGATCAAAGAGGCCTTGGGAGAGCTGACAGAGAGGGTAGAACGTATAACTTGGTATGATCCTTTCCACCCCTTGTTTGTTTCGGGTGGAGAAATGAGGAATAAATGGGAGAAGAGAGAGAGAGAACACACGAACAATTTGTGAGGCTGAACTTGTTTGGCTGTAAACAGTTTGGATTTGGTACTGGAAGTTGAGGATTCATGGCTAATTTTGCTTCATCTCTCATTTGCTTGGATCAAAATTGCTCCGATCATAGCTTGCCGTTGGTTATTACCCAATAATAACCATTAACCAAGGTATGTGCTACTCATATTTCTCGCTCTTTCTACATTACATTATTAAAAGCTATAGATTATTTCATGTTTGATATTAGGGAAAATACCCTTTTGATTCCCGTTTTTTATGTTGCATTTAAATCTTTGAAGTTTTATATGTAATTTCATTTGAATTTAGTTTTTATTTTATCTCATTTTCTTTGTTTTTTATATTAACTTTTAATTTATTAGTTTAAATATTTATGATGTGAAATTTTATAATTAACTTTTAGAAAAAAAAAAAATACTGTAATTAGTTTTGGCACCAAATATCATTGGAAACTCTTTTTATATGTTGGGTGAATTATAAAATATATGTAAATTCACATTAAAATTTTCAATTTTGCATTTAATAGACTTATTTATTGGACATTTTTTTAAATGAAAAAATTTATTAGACATTTTCTGTATTTTAAAGGCGGAAAGGAAACACCCTAAAATAATCATCACATGACTATTGAGAACGAATCAAGCAACATGATTTGGAAATGCTGTCGTTGTGTTTCCAAAACTGCAACATATATCCCAGTCTACCCCGTGTTGGACTGAGCAAGCAACATGATCCTTGCTCAAGACCAATCGGGTCCGAACCGGAATTTTGATTCACAATTGCACCATCCAAGCCATGAGCGATATGTGGGAAGACCATGGAAGCAATATTTACACAAGGGACCGGTGGTGGTGTAAAGCTAAGAAGCAAAGCTCACACACACTGGATGATGTAGGGTGAGAACGCATTTACTTATTTGGAAGTGAAGATAAGAATTGACTAAACTAAAAAAAGCATCCTGATTCAACCATATATTTACCCTTAATTATTCAAATATTTGATAGTTTTTAGAAAGCGAAGCATGTTTTTTAGGTTAAATAACAAATAGAAATTAATAATTATTTAACTATGTATTTGTGATTTATTTTTTTAATGAAGGCCGCAGTAGATTGTATTCCAAGACACCGTTTCTAATAATTAGAAGAATTATATTTATGTAATGTTGTACATACACATATACATCTCTATAGTTAGTGCACCATTGACGATACCAAAAGAAAATTCTTCTTTACAAAATGGAACCTGCTAGCTGCATCTTTAACAGACCCTTTCATTCTTATCATCAAAATTGACCTCAAAACATCTTCATGCTAACAAGATTGTGTAGGTTAGCACTTGGTGTCATCAAATATGAACATGGATATTCTATGGTTTGCCTCCCCTTAATCCCTTAGTCCTTGCAGAGCATGGATCGTACTTCTGTGATCGAGGTCGGGGGCTCGAGGTCTTTCTCTTGTAGCGAGTTCCCAAGCAACTGCTGCATCTGTGAGGCGAATGTGTCGTCAAGAACCTGGACATGAACAAGCATTTGAATTTTTTGTGATGACCCAAAAAGAACTCTTACTATTCCATGAAATCGCAACTCGAAAAGTAACTGCTTACCGAAACTGCAATCCGCGACCCTCTATACCATGACCTGTTCTCCTTCCTGTTCTCCATGAAGCTTAGAACATCCTGAGCCAATAATTATGAAATCCAAAAATGTAAAAGCTGAAAGAACAAACTCTCAAGAACAAAAAGAATCCCAATTTATCTTACCCGTCCCATCCGGTCCCAATAACCCCGACAGAGAGCGATAAATACATGACTCTCGAAGACAGTATGGAGATGATTAATTGTGTTTGTTAACTGATCTTTCAGTGGTTGCATCCTACTTCGTATTTCTGATTCAATCACAGCTTCCTTGGAGTCTTGTAGAATCTTTTTCAGCTTGGTAGCACTTTGTAACTTCGTCTGCAGTAAATAATGAGGCAGATACAATTATTGATACTCCAAGAAATGTCCTTAATCTAAAATCCAAAACTTTGTGTACCATTTCTCAATATAATTCCATATCCATAGGCCTTTACAACAGTTTTGATTACTTTATTCCTGTTAGTTCATTCAATGAACTATACTATTTCATCCTTTATTGAATATACATCTTTTCTTGCTTAATCTTAGGAGTAAATTATCTTATCCTTGTTTACCACGATTTCACAGTCGAGGTATTTTTCGCAATTATCCACAGATATTCTTTAGTAACCTATTTCATCCATCAATGAAATCATCTGTTTCGTAAAAAAACGACAAATTCTAAACAGAAAACTCTTAAAGAAAAATGATACCTACATTCTCAATAAGCTTTTCCACAACAGCTTGCAAATAGTTTCTGAACTTGGCTCTGAGCATGACTGTCACTTCACTAAGACGCTCTCCAGGAATTACATTTCCACCTTCAGGGATGCAGGAACCCCACAGCTTAAACTGGGCCTCCATCTTTGGGCGTAGAACATCAAGCATTCTCTTCATGGAATTTAATAAAATTCCCAGCTGAAAACATCATTGAATTTAAGTATTATTTGGGAACCCATATGATAGCAAACAATATATTTTTAAGTGCCAACTTACCTCGTCCGGGACGGTGTAAGAGCTGACAGATCGTTTAGCAAGTTTCTGGACATACTTAAGTCCGAACTTTTTAGGTGCTAAATTTTCTTTTAGTGGAGCTAACACATCAGCATACTGCTTATCCAATGCCTCCACTATTGCTTTCTCAACATCTGCAATAGCCTATTGTAGAAATCCAGAAAAGAAGCTAAATAGAATAAGATTCTTTCGATTACGAGACCTAGAGTAGATAATAGGACCATGGAAAAGAAAAGGAAAAATGAAGATCCTGTCGAAGAAAAGGCGGAAGCGTGGTTTCTTCGTTTTGTGAAGAACTGAATTGTTAAGTACCTATCGTTAACAGTAACTTTTTCCCCTGCTTTCAAAAACTAGGCCTCACATTCTCCTTTGTTCTGTAATCTACTTTTAAAAATGCTTCTAAAATCATAGCTAGAAGACTTGCCTTCCTAAACAAAAAAAAAAAAAAAAAAAAATTACCACAAGATTATGAACTTACTTGTTCCAAAACAAAGGTGTACTCTGGCCATCGACAAATGAAAATCTCATAGTCACTCAAAGTTTCCTTTAATCGGTCGTACATTTCATCGACAAACGGTGTTGTAGAATGTTGAGTCCTAACTCCCGACCACTTAACCTGCATTTACGTTTAAATTGACCACAACCATGAATTGAGAAATAAAAATAAATTGAGCATGTTTCCCTCGAACTAAGTTTGTGTGTTGCTTTCATGTTTCACCCTAGCAAGAAATTTGTAGTATTCAAAAAATATATATATTTAATTAACTTGACTGACCTTATCTAATTTGCATGTTTCAAGCAACGATAGGCGCTTATCCTGGATCCATACCAGAATATACAAATGGAATAATTCTTTTGCATCGACACCACCTTTCACGGGACTGACAAAGAATGAAAAATGTGTTGGAAATGTACAAGACATCAAGAAGTTTTTCTCAAATATTAAAAAAAAGTGAAGTTTATGAATAAAAAAAATTACCTAATATTCCATCTGGCAAGATCCCTCTGAAAATCAGCAGTTGCAATAACAAGTTCTGCTACTGAAGGTGAAGGGCCTGTTGGTGGGCAAGCAATTAGGAAAGAACGCAATCTACTGCAAAGCTCTGTGCTATATATGGAAGCAGAGAGATTTGGTAGGTCTACAAAGCTGCAAAGAAACTTATGTCAGCTAGCTTCTCAAACCTAAAACAATTATTAAAAAAAGTTAATCGACGAGTTTTCCTCGACCTTTTGATCTAAAAGAACACGAAACTACTTTGGAAGTATACCCAAAACAAGCCCTAAAATGTGAAGGAAAAGGGAGTTCTTTTATTTCGAGATGCAAATGAAGTCAATTCCCCTTAAATTTGGATTATAGAACAGAAAGTGGTACCTGGGGAGTATGTGCTGATTATGGATCTCAATGTCAGAGGATATCTCCTCCCTAATGTCATGACACACAGATTTCATCTTTTGGTAAGAAGTAGACATCGTCATGGTATCTACCAAACTGCCTTCGTTATTGTTACCCATATATTCATCCGTCTCACTCAAGTGCCTCCTTGATCTCTTTTTCATAGCAACCTGGAAAGACGAGTCGTCGTGTAAAAACTCAAACATTCAACTTGACAAATGCAATCCTACTTACTACAGAGATGAAGTTTCTCAAAACCTGGAAATAATGGCACAGGGAAGTCTGAGCCTCTGGAGATAGAATATCATGAAGAAGTGTGTACAATTTAACTGCAGGTTCTATGGCAGGCGCTGCAACTCCAGTTGCTGGTCTGTACACCTCCATAAGACCCGAGAGAGCTGCTTCGTCCAGTGATTTATAATTCTCAAAAACAAGAGCAAGTATCTGCTCAATTTGATCCCGGGTTTCT